GGGGCTCCTGCCAGCACCTGCCTCGCAGGGTTGCCGAGGGCCACACGGACCCGCTGCCTGGGCACATGCCGCGTGCTGCCAGAGAAGGGCCAGCGGCAGGGGTGGTTATTAGGGTGGAAAGCTGGTCCCATCTGGCTGCAGGCGTCCTCCTGGTTTCCTCGAGGCAGGCTCACCTGACTCCCCACTTGAGACCGTCTTGACTTCTATTTTTTTAATCCTCACCCGAGGATATTTTTCCATTAATTTTTAGAGTGGAAGAGAGAGGGAAAGACAGAAATATCAAAGTGAGAGGAACACATCAATTGGCTGCCTTCTGCATGTGCCCCGACCAGGGCCCGGGCCAGGAAGGAGCCTGCAACCAAGGTACGTGCCCTTGATCAGAATTGAACCCGGGACCCTTGGGTCCGCAGAAGACCGTCTTGACTTCTTACCAGCTGTCTCAAACTGCAAAGCCCTGCCTGCTTGGGGTGTGGACAGGATTGCTTCCTGCTTTCACAGTGCCCGCCTGCCTCCTGTCCACCCACCCAACACCGTCAGCACCTAGGAAATGAGCGCCGGCTGCTCTGGAGGGAGGGGCCCCTGAAGCGAGGGGAGCATAGGAAGTGGGAGAGTGAAGACAAACTCAATCCCCCTCGTTCCCGCTGCACCTGTCCTGGGAGTTAGCCCAGAGGAGAGGTGGCTGAGGGCCCGAAGGGCCCCTATGTCATGACTTGCCCCCGGCCTGCCTGCACGGTGGGCAGTGGCACCTCTGTGTTGGCCCAAACAAGCTGGGGGACTAGAAGTCTGGATCCCCAAGTGTCTGGAGCAGACTGACTGCTTCAGAGCCTGGTTCTTAGATCTCAGGACCTGAGACTACGGGGCTGTCACTTCCAGATGCTTTTCTCTAAGAATTCTCTCCCCAAACTCACGACATCAGTGCAAAGAATGCTTTGGGGTTCACTAGCCCTGGGGTGGTAAGCATGCTCCTCCTTTTGGACAGCCATGTGAACTTCAGCTGGGCACCTGGCTGGGCCGTCTCCGGCCTCCCTCTCAGCTAGGAATGGCTGTGGTTGGGGTCCAACAGGATGCAAGTGGAAAGGAAGTAGGCAACTTCCAAGGCAGCAAAGCCCTTACAATGGCCAACAAGCTCCTGGACCAGCACTTCCAATAGGACTGAGATGATGGAAATGCTTTGGAGCCTTGCTGAGCGGCATGGCAGCCACCAGCCACGTGTGGCTGTCAGGCCCTTGATGTAGGAACTGAACGCTGAACTTTGTAAATTACTTTAGACAGCCAATGGCTACCATTTTGAACAGCACCACCCTACATAACCCTCCTGAGCCTTCCTCCCTCCGCACCCAGCACTGCCGCACTGCTCAGCCCCCGGCACTGAGTTCCCCAGACATGCTCCACCCACTCTCCCTCCCCCAGACGCGCTCGCAGCTCCCTGACGTCCACTCCCGGAAGTCCTCGCCTCCTGCAATGACTCCCACCTGACCCATCTTAATACTACAACCTGCTCTCCACACACACACCAGGCCCCGACCCCCTTCCTTCCCCCAGCTTTCACGACCTTCAGACACACTACCTATTAAGTACTTATGTCATTTTGACTTTCCCTGCTAGAACCAAAGTACTACCAGGCAGAGATCTTGGTTTCTTTCATTCACTGATGAATCCAAGGGTGTAGAACAGGGCCCAGTACAGAGCAGGTGCTGAAGCAATACCTGGTGACGCTGGGGAAGAGGAAAGGAAGCTGCCCGCCGCTTCCTCTCACGCTGGGCGGGAATGTGGATGTGCTGGTGGGACCGGGCAGATGTTAGGTCTAGTTAGAAAGTGTAGGGCGGAGGAGGAGCGGCCGCCAGCGCAGAGCCACCATACACGTGAAGCTCGGTTACAGCACCAGAAAGAACTGCATGTAGGTCACTGGGCTAAATCCCGGGTGATACTTTTTACACAAACTACTTTTAATCTCTGAGCACATTCCTTCATCTCAGAAATGGAGAGAACGCCCCCACCTCTGAGGTCTCAGGATTTAGCAGCACCAGGGCGGGCCCAGCTGCGAGTGGCCACCATGGAATTGGGCCTAGAAGGGCCAGGCCCTGAACTCCACTGCCACGAGGCAGCAGCTGGGGTGGGCGGTGGGCGTCTGCGCATCTGTGCGCCCGTCAGGGCTGGGCAGCGTCCCTGCACGCATCTCAGCAGAGTGGGGCGCACTCCTGGCAGCCCCTCCGGCCTGGAAGGAGTCCCTGCTCCTCTCAGCCCCCACCAGAGGAGCAAGGAAGTGGGGAAGGGCAGGCAGGAGCAGCGGGCACTGTCAGCAGCCCGGGCAGTAGTGGACCCGGGTCACTGTGCCAGCACGAGAAAGCTCCGCTTCCCTCCAGCGAGGCGGCCCGCCCAGCACCCACTCCCACGGCGGCCGGAGCCCGAGGCAGAGGCACCCTCCTTTCCCAGGCAAGAATCTCGGGGACAAGTGAGAGGCAAGAGTCACCACTGGGGGAAAGAGGGACAAAAGAACCACAGGCAGACGTGTTTGAGACTAAGTTTATCTGCCTTCCTCGTGCCCAAGCTTCCAGGTGGGGCTGCACAGGGGCAGCGGCAGGAGTGCGAGCACCGAGTGGCCACGCTGCTCTGCTCCCGGGAGCGAGGGGCACCACATGGATTCCGAGGCCCCCTTGCCGGCAGCTGCGGGATCAGTCTGTCCTCACAGGCAGGTCTGGCGGGCGGAGAAGCGCCAGGTGCAAGGGCTCACGGTTCCCTGGGGCTGGGAGACACAGCCATCAGCTGCCTGAGGTGAGAGGCCGCCTGGTCCAGTTTCGACAATTCCAGGTGGAGGGAAGAAAGCTGGACGGGGGAGAAGCAGTAAGGATCCGGCAGGAGGCCCACCCTCCCTCCACCCTCCCTCCACCCTCCCTCGGGAGGCGGGCTCCCTGGGCAGCCTCCCAGCCTCACCCTCTGCTGCCGCCGAGCCTCGGCCTCCCCCTCTGACGGGGTTCCGGGCCATAAGTCGTCCAGCTGCTTCTGCAACTTGTGCCTTCGGGCAGCCAGCAGAGGCAGATGGGCCTGCGGGTCCACCAGCCCTGCGGGAGGACAG